TTTGGGGCGGGGTGGGCTCAGCTGAGCGCTGCGCATGGGGGTGGGCAACCCCACCGTCCAACGCGGCGACCGGGCCGCTTGAATCCGCCCGCCCGCACAATCCGTTCCGCAGTTTGCATCTCACCGGCGCTCCCCGCTCGGCGGCGCGGCGGCGGCGGGGGGGTGGTCCGGCGCCGGGAACAGCCGGTTGTTTAAAATCCTTCTCGAACCGTTTCTAATTCCCCCTCGCGCGGGGGGGGGGAGGGGCCCGGGCCGGATGCGCGCGCCCCCGTCCATCACCGCGCGGGGGGCGGGCCCGGCCAATGGCGCGCGCGTGTGGCGCCCCGTCACCGTGGCGACCGCGGGGCCGGTCCCGGGGAAGGCGGGTGATGGGTTGACAGGTGCGTGACAGTCGGGGAGCTTCTCCGCAGGCATGTACGGCAAAGGCAAGAGCAACAGCAGCGTCCCGTCCGACAGCCAGGCCCGCGAGAAGTGAGTGGTTTTTTTTATTTTTTTATTTTTTAATTTTTTTTATTTTTTATTTTTTTTTTACCCCACACCCCACATACACACACACACACCCCGCGCAAACTTTGCGGCGCTCGGGTCCCTGAGGGGAAAGGGCGCGGGGGGAAGCGGTGCCCGCGCTCSGGGCGTGAGGGGACTGAGGGGACTGAGGGATGAAAAGGGGGAATGGTGGCGGTGCTGTCCCACCAGCCTGACCCGCTGTCCCCGCTACCCCGCGGGGGTAACAAAGAGCCCGCTGAGGGGACCGGGGCCGCCGTCCCAACTCGCCGCCTCACAACTTTTTCCCCTCTCGCCGCCGCATTGTTCGCTCTCGGGGGGCTCCGCGCCCGCCCCGCCGCACAAAGCGGAGCGGGCACCGCGCTACCCGGGGTTCCTTAACTCCTGCTGATGTTATTACGGTTTTTATTTTTTATTYCTAATTGCGCATAGAGAGCGCCCGGCCGAGCCGCGTTCCGGGGCTTCAGCTCCCGAYGGGGAGAGCCCAACTGGGGGTGCCCCCGCCCCGGGCCCCGCCGGGGAAATTGGGGTGGAAAAMACAGTTTTTTGGGCATGGACGGCGTCTCCTCGAGTTGTCCTGTAGCGGCTGCGACTTGGAGAGACCGAGGCCGGTTTGGCACGGTGGGGGTGGAGGGGGAGGAAAAGCCCGTGCGAGGAGGAGGAGGAGGAGGAGGAGGAGGAAGGGGACGAAATATATCGGGGATGGGAAGGTCGGGGTGAGGATGATGGGGGTTCGCACCTCTCTGTTCCAAAAATCGCATCGCTCCAGAGCTGCTTCAGCACCGCGATCCGCGCTCCGGGCACGGCCGAGGAGTTTCCCTTCAAGGCAGCTTGTCGTGAACCTTCACCTAAAAGTTTTTTTTT